TCGAGTAAAGTAGGTAGGATTCGAGAATAATATAATATAGTATAATACTAGTAATTTCCGGACTACGGCTTCGAAACTCCGGGAATATTATGAAACCTACCCGTCCCGCCCTAGACCTCCGGTGAACCTTAACCGTTAGTTAGAGCACGAGGCTCTTAATAAGGAGCTACTAGTACACCCGGACGATAATATACCGTAACGTTACCGCGTCTAAGGATAGTCGCGAGTCTGAACGGGGGGTAATATAACGTATAGGTAATAAGTTAATAGTTAACTAGCTAGTCGGTTAACTAGTTCGTGAACAGACTTAGAGTATAGAGTTAGTTAGATAAGTTAACTAGTTAGTTACCGTAAACTAGTGAGTTTACTAACTAGTTAGTTAGCCGACTAGCGAGTTAGTATTAACTAGTAGGTTAGTTGGCTAGTTAATAGATATAGACTTGGGGAGTTAAGAAGGGGATTATATAATCGATATTTACGTTTATAAGATCAGATATTTACCTACGCGTTGTTAATAGAAGCCTTACGTATATATATACGCTGGAGCCTAAGGATTGTTTATCTTTCGGTTTACTTCTGTGGAGGAACCTTCTATCCGGGACTTTCTATAAGGATTCTGCCGCCTCACTATAGCCCCGCCCACGATAGGTATTTAAGGTAGCACTTTACCTTCCTTATTTCTTCCTTTCCTTTTTCCCCTTCGTCTTAGTTTTCTTCGTTATATAGGACATAGTTGCTTCACCTTCTTCCTTCTATACGTAGGTTCTCGTAGCTGTACTGCCTAGGAGTCACATAGAGGAGCTAGATAAGATCGTAGCTAAGGCTAAAATAATAAAGACGACTCAGAGCTATAGTATTATTATATCTACTATAAGCGTTCTACTTATTATACTAGTAAGTAGTACTTCTTTAACCCTAAATCTAAGGGTACCTCTTAAGGCGGCGTTAATATAGCTATAGCTAGTACTTCTAATTCAAAAAAGGACTTAAAATCGAAAGAGAAATCGGAGAAGATTTTAATAAGCTTCGCCGAAATAAGCTTATTAGCTATTAATATTATAGCTCTATTAATAGATAACGACGAATAGTATATTTAGATAGTAGACTCTAGCGTATTAGCGTATATAATACCTTATTATATAAATTTTATTAATTTCACGCTACTTATTACTAATATAAAGCTCCTAAACGGTTATTAAGTATAGACTAAAGGATATAGTAATATTATCCTAAACTTTTTAAATAGAAATACTATTTCTAAGCTTAAGCTATTCAAAGTCTAGTATATTCCTTCTTTTAATATAAACCTAATTTCCTTATAGTAACTTACGAAGGATTCTAGTATTAAGACTCGATTTAATAAGATATATAGCTCCCTCTATAGGAGGGAAGAGCTTATCGTTACGGCTAAGTAGGAGAACGGTTAATATTAGGTTCGTACCTATAATAGTAATAGTTATATTAATATACTTAGAGCTCTATCTATTTAACTATCCTACGTATTTAGTAATAGTTATATACCCGCCGCAGATTCGGCTATAGCTTCTTAAATCGGTAAAATTTAACCTATTATAATAGACCTAGCTTATCGCAGAGCCTATTATATAGGCGAGTAGAAGGTAAAGCGTATACCTAAATATACCGAAGGAATTAATATCAAAAAGGGATCTAGTATTAAGTATCCTTATCCTCTGTATATTCTTAGTAAAGGTTATACCTTACCTTTTAGACAAAGTAAGCGTATTAAGACTATACTAGCGTAGAAGCTTTATATCGATATTTAGGATCCTATTTCTATCGTAGATATTAGAGGCTATCGTTATTTTATAACCGTTACCGATAATATAACGCGTTTCTATTAGGTCTTCCTATTAAAGACTAAGAACGAAATTACTAATAAGATTCGCGTGTTAGTAACCTACTTTTTAACGTAATTTAACTATAAAGTTAAGGTAATTTTAGGCGATAATACGTAAGAATATATTAAAATCGCTACTTTTTACGAAGAAAGCGGTATTATTTAGGACCCTATTCCCCCCTATATATCTTAGCTTAATAGTATTACGGAGATCAGGAATCGTTAGCTTATTAAGCCGCTAGTCGCTATATTAGCTAAAAATCAGCTTCCTAAATATCTATAGGGTAAGCTACTTTTAGGTATTAATTACACTATAAACCGTCTCTAGTAGTCTACTATTAATATAACTCTATATAAAGCTTTCTACGGTAAAAAGCTAGATATTTTAAATCTACGCGTACTTAGCTACTAAGCTTAGTATCTGATTCTAAAGGAATATAGGGTAGATAAACTTTCTCCGTATATAGCCGAAGTAAGGCTAGTAGGCTATAGTACTAATAGGTATCGCCTCTATAATATTTATTTAAAGAGGATCGTAGTCTCTCGTAATATAGTCTTTAATAAGAATATAACGAAGGATCTACCTAAGCCTACGTACGATCTCGATATAGAGCTAAAGTCTATTCCTATATAATCTACGGCTAATTAACGCCGTTATATACTATCGGATTTCCTACCGGCTAATAGCGATTAACTAGTTTAGCTAGATTTAGCTAATAGCCCTAATAAGCTAGTAAAGCTAGTAACCCTATCTCCTTATATTCTAATAGGAGACCTACTATTATCTAAATAGTCTAATATACTACTTTTATTATTTAAACGCAAAGCCTAACTTAAAAAGCTTCGTAAACAGATTAAGCGGAGATTCGCCTATAAATAGAATAAATATATCGATAATAGCCCTTAAACTATAGAGGATAGTTCCGAAACTATTAAGGATAGTCCTAGAAATATCGACGATAACCCTTAAACTATAGAAGGTAGTTCTAAAACTATCGAGGATAGTTCTTAAACTATTAATAAAAATCCGTAATCTAAGATAGATCTTTAGCGTTCCTTATATATCCGTAAGAAGACTTAAGCGGCTATAGAGTTAAAGGAATATTTACGTTCTCTTAAGCGTTTATATATAGCTCTAGCTAACTATATTAAATACGCTACTTTTTTAATTCGTAGTATAGCCGCAGACTTATAATTACTTCTAAAACTTTTATATTAAGCTTTAGCTTAATTAACGCTATATAAACTAGATAGCTAGCAGGAGATAATATAAAATTATAGTAAGGATAAATAGACTAAATAGATTAAAGCTATAGATAAGGAAATACAGAAGTAGCTAAAAAACGGTACTTAGCGCGTATACGATCTTCCTACTAAAGATACTAAAAAGATACTTCTTCCGCTTCGATAGGTCTTTCGTATTAAGGACGATAGGACCTATAAAGCACGTCTCGTTACAAAAGGGTTTAAGTAGCGCGAAGGAATCGATTATCTTAATATTTATATAAGTATAGCTAAAGCTTTAAGCTTTAAAATATTCTGTATAATAGCTACGTATTTCGGCTAGTAGATATATTATATTAACTTCGTTACGGTGTTCCTTAACGCAGAGCTTCTTAAAGAAATCTATATTTAACTTCCTAATAGTTTTAAAGAGCCTAGAAAATACGGCCTTCTTTTAAAGACTTTATACGGTCTAAAACAGAGTCCTCGCGAATAGTATAATACTATCTATAGAACTCTAATAGTAATTAGATTTATTCGCTTATATATAGACTATTCGGTATTTATATATATAAAACGTAAGCTCTATCTTCTTATATACGTTAATAATATACTAATTATCACGCCTTTAGATATATCTCTTATATGGCTTAAGGACTATATTCGTAAATCCTTCGATATTACTAATAACGGTACTACTACGCGATTCCTTACGATTAATATTATTTATATAGATAGTAAGATAAAGCTCTCTTAGCTCGCCTATATTCGGAAGGTCCTCGCGAAATTTAACCTATAAGATATATATATAGTCCCTACGCTATTTTATAATAAGAAGATCCTATAACCGCGTAAGGATACTACGACTCCGGCGGAAGTTAAAGCTTACCGTAAGATAGTAGACTTACTTATTTAGTTAATAGTTAATATATAACTAGATATTATATTCGTAGTTATAAAGCTTATAAGATATACGTATAACCCCTCCGCGAAGTATATAACTATATTAAAGTGTATCTTTCGGTATCTTAAGGGTTCTGAAACGCTTACTATCGCGTATTCCTACTTACTAGACCTCCTTTTTAGATTTATTAATATAGATTAGACTAGTAAATATACAGATAGTAGTATATTAACCTCCGGCTTCCTTTTTAAGCTTACGAATAGTATAATTACTTAGGCTTATAAAAAGTAAACGTGCGTTACTCTTTCCTCTACAGAAAGTGAGTATATCGCTATATCTTTAGCTATATAAGAGGTATTATAGCTATAGCTTTTCCTTAAGGAACTTAATATAGAGTCCCTTTTATAACTTCCTACTATAATCTACGAGGATAACTAAGACGCTATTTACCTTACTAAAAGCTATGATTTACACTAACGAACGAAGTATATTAACGTTAAATATCATTATATTAGAGACTAAGTCTCTAGGGGGGTATATAAATTCGTCAAAATTTCAACTACAGAGCAGGCCGCAGATAGCTTTACTAAGCCGCTACAGCGAGTCTAATTCGAGAGGTTTCTACACCTTTTAGGCATGAAAAAGCTCTGATTTAATAGCCTTTATAGCGAGCTTAATTCTAAGGGTTTAAACACCTTTTTGAGCTTAAAAAGTTGCATTAAGGCATTATTAACATATTTATATAATCACTTTTCATGTTTTTCATGTTTTGAGTGAGATTGGTGGATCGAGGTCCAGGGGGGTGTTGAGATAGCTTGGTGGTCAGGCGTGTCACCAGCGTGGTGCGCGCCCACGCACACCACCTTCGTAGCTTAGATAGGCACCTCTCACCAGATGCAATCTCACCATTCCTTTCTCCCCTCTTTTGGGTCTGCTACGTTTTCCCAGTAGCCTCCAATATATCTCGACCCCAAGGTCAATATTCTTACCTCGGCCAAATTGGCTACAATTTCTATGACTCCCCAGTACTGTGCCAACTGGTGTGGTGAGCGAGGTTTTTCATACAGTGGTGTTGAATTTGGAAAGTGAGTTGTCCACGTTAATTGCTCATCTGAGTTATCATTCATTCGGAAGATTTGGAATAAGGGTGATCATACTTACTGATTCACAGGCAGTGCTTCTGTGATACGGAGCCTAATCTCAGCGGCGCAACTCTTACAAAAGACACAGCTTGCAACTCTGCCTGTGCTTTGGAACCGTCTAGCTCCTGCGGAGGGACTTACATGTATGTTCAGATGAACGGCACACATCGCATGGCTCACAAAGTTCTTGTAGCTGACCTGTTTCTACCTCGCTACTCTCAGTATGTCCCTCTATCAGATCTCAAATCCCCGTGGCGGAAGTCCCGATACCCGATTTGTACCCGCCTGCCAGCGGAACCCGTTGAGCCGACACCCAGTATGCAATACCACTCTAAGCATAGCCGAAAGGGTTAAGTCACTCGTCGACTCCTTGACCGAGGAAGAAAAGATCTTGAACGTAGTCGATGCTTCAGCGGGGTCGTCACGGCTGGGGCTGCCATCCCATGAATGGTGGAGCGAAGCAACTCATGGCGTGGGATCTGCGCCGGGCGTGCAGTTTACTCGTCCACCCGCCAATTTCAGTTGGGCAACCAGTTTCCCAGCTCCAATCCTGACGGCAGCGGCTTTTGATGATGCGCTGGTCCGGAGTATCGGCGAGGTCACTGGTAGGGAAGGGCGCGCTTTCGCGAATTATGGATTCTCTGGCTTCAACTTCTGGGCTCCCAACATCAATGCTTTCAGAGACCCTCGTTGGGGAAGAGGCCAGGAGACCCCGGGTGAGGACATTCTCGTGGCACAGAACTATGTTCGGGGATTCGTGCAAGGTCTTCAAGGCGACAACCCTCACGAGAAACAGGTCATTGCTACATGCAAGCACTTCGCGGTCTATGATGTCGAGACTGATCGTTATAGCGACAACTTCAACCCTTCTCCGCAAGACCTGGCAGAGTTTTTCTTGCCGTCGTTCAAGACCTGTGTTCGGGACAGTGGTGTAGGCAGTGTGATGTGCTCCTACAATGCCGTTCTGGGCGTTCCTGCCTGCGCAAGTGAGTATCTGCTGGAAGATGTTCTCAGAGTTCACTGGAACTTCACCGCGGATTACAACTATGTTGTGTCGGATTGTGACGCGGTGACAAACATCTACCAGTCTCACAACTTTACCGATTCATTTGAAGCAGCAGCATCCGTCGCTCTGAATGCTGGAGTGGATTTGGAGTGCGGAACCACGTACCTGAAACTGAATGAGTCCCTTGCGGATAATCAGACATCGACGCAGACACTGGATCGCGCATTGACGCGATTGTACTCGGCGCTTTTCACGGTCGGCTTCTTCGACGGGGGCAAGTACACGGACCTTAACTTCGCGGATGTTGCCAACCCGAGTGCTCAGATTCTCGCTTACGATGCCGCAGTGGAAGGCATGACGCTTCTCAAGAATGATGGCCTTCTACCTTTTGGTACAAGTACAAAGCACAAGTTCAAAGGCGTCGCTGTCATCGGGCCTTTTGCGAATGCCACCACTCAGATGCAGGGGGATTACTCGGGAATCGCCCGAGCTATTCTGAGCCCGCTGGAAGCATTCAAAAACATGGGAGATTGGAAAGTCAACTACGCTCTAGGAACCACGATCAGCAATGAGACTACTATAGGATTCGATGCGGCAATGGCAGCCGCAGACGAGAGCGACCTGGTTGTTTTCCTCGGAGGTATCGATAATACCTTGGAGAATGAGGGTCTTGATCGCAAGAATCTCACCTGGCCCCAGAACCAGCTTGATCTGATGACAAAATTATCGCAGACAAAAAAGCCGATGATTGTGGTACAGTTTGGCGGTGGCCAAGTCGATGATAGCGCGTTATTGCAAAATGCGGGTGTGAACGCAGTCGTTTGGGCTGGATATCCGAGCCAGAGTGGTGCCACCGCACTTGTTGATATTCTGCAAGGCAAGGTATCTATTGCTGGCCGGCTGCCGGTCACCCAGTATGCCGCCAGCTATGCCGATGAGGTCAGCCTCTTCGACATCAATCTTCGACCGAACACGAACAGGTCATATCCCGGACGAACGTACAAATGGTACACTGGGACGCCCGTTCTTCCGTTCGGCTTTGGACTCCATTACACAGAATTCAATTTTGAGTGGCGGAAAGGAACCTTGAAAGAGGAGTACAACATCCAAAAGCTTATTGAGTCATGCCAGAAGAAGACCGATTTCATCGTCAATGACAACACCCCCTTTGCTTCCGTCAAAATCAACGTCAAAAATGTGGGACAAGTTGATTCTGACTATGTCAGTTTGCTCTTTCTTTCCAGCAAAGACTCGGGACCAGCTCCTCGACCCCGAAAAACACTGGTCGCCTACTCCCGTCTGCATGGCATCAAGAAGGGCGAGGAACAAACCACCATGTTGAATTTGACATTGGGTTCACTGGCCCGAGCGGACGAGAACGGAAGCTTGGTGATCTTCCCAGGTCATTACAAGATTGCATTGGACAATGACGAGAGCTTGACATACGAGTTCGATCTTAGAGGAGATGCCCATGTAATTGAGACTCTCCCTGGACCTCAGGAGGAATATCATTACACGGTGCCCGTTCATATTCAAGCCCCGACGGTTGGGCCACAATGATCTTCTGGGTTGAGGGACTCGACCTTGATGACTGGCATATGTATGGATCAAAGTTGACCCCAAGATGATAGTCAAATGAGACTTAACTGTCTGGGTAGGTTTAAATCAGCAACTGTTATGAGGAGAAGCCGAGGGTGTGGAATGATAAAGTTGGCAAAGGAATTGGACTCTGCTGTTGCTGGCATATTCCTGTTGAGAATTATGACTTGCAAGTCGAGCCTTTGATGGAGGGTCTACCTAGTATGTAATTAGCGCATGGTAGGTACTACATAATTGAGTTTCTGTTGACGGCAGACGATGGCCAAATTCATCCCAGACCCGTGATTTGCATACGGGGTAGGTGGTTCTGTCAGGATCTACCTTCGGTTATCATTGAACTCGCGTGTGATCTGAACTAAGTTGACTGACATCCAGTGACACTGGAAGCAATTGGGCTGGACTTCATTGATCTATCGAATCTATGAACAAGATGGGGAACTCCGAATATCTCCACATCTACGGAGCACACGCAACTGACATGACCTTTATCCTTTTGCCTGCTTAATCAATCGAAAGTCTTTCAAACTGAACTTCCACGTCCTCGGTCTCTCCGACCGCAAAAGCGCCGATGATCGGCCCAGTAAAATCAGGATCAGTCATTTCCATCGAGTCAGCCGTGCCCAACAACTTCCAGTCTTCGCAAGGTCCAGCCGAGACGGAGTACATCCATTGATATTCGCTTTCCGTGTACTCAATTCGGAAGTTGACACTGGCGGGTACCTGTGCAAGAGTGTCCTTTTGGGTCCTTGCCAACTTATTGGCCGCATTGATGACTTCCAAGACCACCTCACGCGCCGAAGAGTCGTAGTAGATCCGGATGAATCGATGCTCTTCCTTATACAGGGCAAGTCCTGCCCGAAGCTTTGAGGATGCCCACGAGTCTTGAACGCCCTGGAGTGTGACGCTACTGGACCCAGTCAACAGGCGTTGACGTTTCCCAATGAAGGTCGGGCTGGCCTCTGCGTGAGAAAAGTCCACGGAAGAGGCACGCAGAGATACCGAGTCGGACCCAGTGAGCCTGTAACGACTCATAGCAGCATCTCGAATATAAAGGAAGTCGAGACCAGGCTTCGCTGTCGGACACGGCGCCGTACTGGCCGCAGTGAGACCCTTCGGGTTCGACGTAACCTGCTCGAAGATGGGCCAGTCGTTATCCCAGTCGACGTGCATCAAAAAGGTCTCACGTCCCATTGGAGTCCTGCCGGCATCGTCCAAGCGAGCACCCAAGCAGGTCCCCCACCATTGGCCTTCGCCGTCTTGAAAGATCTCACAGTGTCCGGTGTATTGAATATACTCTTTGGTGCCGCGAGCCGTCAGGACAGGGTTGCTGGGGCAGGATTCGTACGGACCCCAAATGTTCTGCGACCGTGCCATCACAACGGTATGCCCGCCGTGGGTACCTCCCTCCGCGGTCAGCAGATAGTACCAATTGTTGCGTTTATACAAGTGTGGTCCCTCGGGGTAGATGCCGCCAGTTCCGCGCCAGACCACTTGCTCTTCAGACAACTTTGCACCGGTCGCAAGGTCAATCTCAAAGACGTTGATGGTGGTGCTGGGTCCAATGCCGCCCGAGCCCTGCATGTAGATCTTCCCATCGTCGTCGAAGAAGAGACTGGGGTCAATGCCCTCGAAGTCAAAGTAGACGGGATCAGACCATTCCCCGTTCCAAACGTCTTGGGTCGAGACAATGAAGTTTTCGGTCGCATCTCGCTCTTCTCCGGGACGCCGAACGACATTGGTACAGATTACGTAGAACGTACCCTGATGATAGCGGATGGTGGGCGCGTAGAGACCTCCGCTCCCAATTACGTGCTTGTTGTCTCCTTCGGGATAGATGATGGCCTGTGATTGTCCCAGGCTGAGTTGAGATTGACGATGGATCGCATTTGCTGCAGACGCGTCCATTAGTCTGTATTCTCCGTCACTGCCCCTTCTTCCCAGAGTTCCTGGACAACGATCTTGACCTCCACTGGCGTAGAAGCCGCAGACTTACCGATGTGTTTCCACGACACCAAGTCTTGAGATGCATAGATTGGAAGGCCTGGGAAGAGGTGAAAGGTGGAGTTGACCAGGTAGAACCACTCTCCGACTTTGACCACGGAAGGGTCAGGCGCAAAGCCTGGAATGATGGGATTCACAGCACCTGACATTGGGAGAAATCCTTGACAGAGACGTGCTTGACAACACTTGATGAACAAGATGAACAAGACGAAAAAGAAGAGGACAAGAGGCTCTCTGGCCACCACGAATTGCGCCTTGGACTTCTGGCACTAGCACCCCCGCCTTCTCAGTCTGACACACTACAGTATCTCATGCTGCGCTCTACGAAAGTGCGGGGACGGGCTGCCACTGCTGGGTAAAATGGGCAAAATCTCGGAAAACGTGAAGCCGCCCGCGCACTATCACAGACTCATAGAGCTATTCACCATCCACCCAGCTCATACTCGGGAAAGTGAATGAAATAATGCCATCGCGCTTGACAACTTCAGGGTATTTCAGAAGGCTCACAAACGACTTGTTCATGAAGTCTGAACAAAGTCCCTTCCACATCCCGCTTTCTATCCTGTCCAGATTATCTCGGCGGAGAACCATAAAACATGAGAGAGCTCATGACTTGGAGGGCTGTGGTTCCAATTCAGCCTGGGGAGAACCTTTTGGGGCTACAACCCAAACCCGCGCTAAGATAGAATGGTCCAGTGGCGCTCATAATATCCATGAAATTAGGGCACAGTCTCTACATCCGAACTCATCAGTCGGTGGCCGTATGATTCAGAGTGGTCTCGTCGATGAGGATGGCGTTCCCATTCAGGTCTTGCGCTGGATATCGACGAGACAAGGACCCCATTTCCCTCTGCGGAAACACATCCACTTCCGCCCTCCATGGCGTTTACACTCAGCCTTTCATGAAAATGGGGGCATTGGGGATCGTCAAACAGGCTGTGTGCAAGTCGCCAAGTACAGCCAAGGGCAACAACGTTAGCCGGATGAGATTAGCCTAATTGCACACCACATCGTGGAACTCCTCCAGACGGCGGTGGCTGGCGCCACCAAAAAGAATCTTTCGTCTTTACCCCTCAGAAGAGAGGTAGATCCACGAGCCATCACATGTCGGCAGTGGCTGGCTCGCTTGGCGACTCGACATCCGAAGCGTCGCTTGACAACAACGGCCTAGTGTTGCGCCCTTGAAGCGACATGGCGAGTCTCATCTCAGCAACGGTCCGAGAACAGGTTTACGCGAAGCATCCACCAATACAGTGGTCTCTGTTACACAAACGATCACAAATGGTGTTCATTCCTGCGGTCGGCGCTGTCGAGTCCTTCCACTGGCCCCGATCAGACCAATTTCGAGACCTTCGCGTCCAGTCTCGACTCGTGTGACGCGATTCCTTGGACCATCGTCAACTTGGGATGGGGAAAGAGTCAGTCACCACAAGCAGCGGTTCCCAGGGGATTGGTGCTTTTCTTCATTTCCTGGCTTCGAGTAATCCACGTTGGTCTGCGGATTGAACTAGGCCTCGTTGCATGGTCTCGCCCAGGCCCCCTACCCACCGTACCCAGCAGCACACGAGTATACCATGTATCCCATGCGACAAATGCAAGTCCGCGCTGCCTCCTCAAGAACTCCCGGCCATGTCATGTGATAACACCCCCCGGGGGGAATGGGCTGATCACGAGCTCGACGCGGCACCAGCAATCCCTTCTCATCCCGGTCACTTTGACCCGCTCGCCTGTGTTGGCGTTGCCAGGTGGCCAGCACGGACTCGACAAGTTCTCGGCTGCCAATGACCGGTCGCACGAAGATAGCCTAACACACTTTAGGTTGAAGTGTCTCGCCCAGGGTCTTGTCTCCACTCCCGCGATTGGGCCGCAAATCGGCGGCTTTGCGATGGACTATCCACATTCCACTGTCAACCCTGTATGGCACTCTAATCCTCTTTGAGTTGCTCCAGTTTCATCCCCGCAGGCAGGCGGATGTGGGTGAATCCCCACGGGGAATCGCGCCTTGCAAAACGCTGGATATCAACGAGTCAACGACGCCACCATGCGGCAAAATGCAAGCAAGTCAAAACGACGTCTCAGCTTGGATAGCAAAGCTCAAGTCCGATCACTGCTTGTCGGCAGCACTAGTCCTTGGCGACTGCATGAAGGGAATATAGCCGGAAGCACATTACACAAGCTCCGGGAGCGAGGCAGGCAGGGGGGTCGGAGATTGGAAGTGTTTCGGTGTCCACCTCTTCGACTTTGTGATAAAGACGATGCTGGGCCCCCAGATCGGCAGAGTCGTAGGAATCCCAATCCATCTCCTTGGGTCATTCTCAGCATATCTGGCTGGGCCCTCCCCCATCATCCAGTTTTCGTCCACTGTGCCTCCCATTCCCAGCCTGTCTCGTTCGAACTGTCGCCATTATGGGGTTGCGATTCAGGCCACCGAAGCAGACCCAGAAGGTCATGCCTGTCAGGCCCAGCAAGGGTCACTTCCTGTTTGCCCACCAGGAATACCAGCGTGTCTCGTGGTGGAGACGAAAGAACATGCGCACTCTGTACATCTATATTGTGATTTTGATCATGACCAACACCGCCAACGGCTTCGACGGGTCCATGATGAACGGTCTTCAGACTCTCTCCTACTGGCAAGAATATTTCAACTACCCGCAGGGACCGCTTCTGGGTCTCTTCAATGCGTCCATGAGTTTGGGCTCCTTGATCGGTCTCTTCGTGGTCCCATACTTGATTGATGCCTATGGCCGTCGATTGGGATGCTTCGTCGGCTGTCTGATCATGCTTCTTGCCGTTGGCCTCCAGACCGGCGCCACTGGATTCGGCATGTTCGTCGCAGCTCGTCTCCTGATCGGATTTGGGGACTGCCTTGTGCTCGGCAGTGCTCCGCTGCTGATCGCCGAGATTGCGCATCCCCAGGATCGTGCCACTCTTGTAACTCTGAGCGGTGCCTCCTATCATTCCGGTGCTTTCATTGCCAGCTGGGTGACTCTGGGAACACTAAAAATCCAGGTAATTTTGCCCTCGAGATAATTAAACTACCAGCCAGCATTGAGCTAACATGCCCTTGGTCGTCTAGAGCGACTGGTCTTGGCGTCTTCCTTCATTGCTGCAGGCAATCTGCACAGTTGTGATTGTGTGCGGTATCTGGATCATGCCCGAGAGCCCCCGTTGGCTCATGAGCAAGGGAAGACACGAGGAAGCTATGCGAGTCTTGGTCAAGTATCATGGCGAGGACGACGCGGACGATGAGTTCGTGCACCTCGAGTATGCGGAGATCAAGGCCGCAATCGACCTGGACAAGGAGATTGATCAGACACGCTGGGTGGACTTCCTGAAGACCAAAGGCAACCGCAAGCGTATCGGTCTCATCACAGCCCTCGGTCTCTTCAGTCAGTGGAGTGGTAACGGCTTGATCTCTTACTACCTCAAGCAGGTCATGGACAGTGTTGGCATTACCAAACCCCAGACCCAGCTTGGTATCAATGCCGGCATCAAGACTGAGGCTTTGGTCACCAACTTTACCCTCGCTTTCTTCGTCGACCGACTGGGTCGTCGTCCAGTCTACCTGGTCTCCACCGTCGGTACATTCTTGGTCTTCAATGCGTGGACCATTGTCTCAGCTCGATATGCTCTGGCCCCTAACCAGGCTTTGGGATACCTCTTTGTGGTCTTCACGGTTCTCTATGGAGTGTTCTACGACATCAAGTAAGTTTTACACCCCCACACACTTTCTGCTGAAATGGAGTCGATGGAGGCTCTTTGCTCGTCATAGCTACCTTCTCCCCCATATTTTGGTATTTGGGCTAATACCAAAGCTTTCAGATCTGGTCTTATGGCCACCTACACCACCGAGATTCTGCCTTACGGTCTTCGTGCCAAGGGTTTCACCTGGCTGAACTTCTGTGTCACCGCCGCCCTCTTCTTCAATCAATATATCAACGCCATCGCCCTTGCAGCTATTCACTGGAAGTACTACATCTGCTACTGTGTTTTCCTCGCCATGGAGTGTTTCGTCATCTACACCTTCCTGATTGAGACCCGTTACACCCCCATGGAAGAAATTGCCAAGTACTTCGATGGCGACTCGGCAGTCGACGTGGGTGAGGTTGCGGTCGCAGATATGAAGGAACAAGCGAGGGAGACCCACGATAAGCCATCAGTCGTTCAGATCGAGGTCAAGGAATGATTGGGGCAGGATCTTCGGATGTCGTTTGCTGAGCTTGGTTTCCATGTGGAAGTCACGGAAGAGGAATATTATAATCAGATTCGGGTCCATTTGGAGCGCATTGATCACTTGATTACGTTCTCCGGAATTGTCTTGGTCGACCTTCCAATCAATTTACAGTACATCCATACTCCTAGACCCGATCGACCGAGGTGCCTTTGTCGTGTCCCTGAGCCCGCATTCACCTTCTCCCATCACTCGAGTAATCTGACATGTGTAGTCTAATTTGTGGGACTCGCGCCTAAGCAACATCTTTATAAACCACTCTGACATGTGAACTTTTGACGAATATTCTCTCTATAGTCTAATAGAATCAGATGGGAGGTTTGTTTCCATCTCTGCATTTGTCACCGGTCAACGGTCAACGGTCCTGAAATTTGGCAAAGAGGTCCACAGGAAATGCATCTGCTAATGCCTGAAACGCCTCCGTATTCGGGTGTAATCGATCGCCGGAGTCATACTGCGGTTTCAACATCTCAGCATGGTCGCTGTCTCGCAAAACTTCATCGAAGTCAACCACAGCGTCAAAAACGCCGCTGCTTCGTATCCAGTCGTTCAATTGACGCCTTGTCTGATCTCGAATCGGATCTGAATAGCCTGACAGACCCATGAGTTTGGCATCAAGATCTGAATCCTCTGTTCTTCTACCAAACGGAGTGATGGTGGCGGCAAAGATGGGGATTCCGCGGGCATGCACCCTCGTTGCAATTTGCCGGTATCCGGCAATGATTCTCTTGACCACGGTCGCCTGCGAGCTTTCATTGGCTTCGGCTGTGCCAATGTCATTGACACCCTCGAAAATGAGAACGTATCGAAGACCCGAAAGAGAGAGAATGTCACGGTCCAGCCGACTCAGGACGTTCGGACCTAGTCCGTCTGCGAGTATACGATTGCCTCCGGCTGCTTGATTGACTATCGACATGTTCGAAGTTGCAGGATTTGACTCGAACCGTTCAAAAAGTCGATCGGGCCATCTTTAGGACGTCAGACTTGCATTGCGCCATTGACTAACGAGATGGAAAACACTCACCTATCATTTCCGTTGGTCGTGCTGCACCGTCCGTCGGTAATGCTGTCACCGATAATAGCGAATACACATGCCTCTCGAGGAGCTAGTACCTCAATCGCGGAGATAAAATACCTACGGTTGTCTCTGGATAAGCCGCGTGATTCTTAGGCTCGCCGATGGAGCATGAGGGATTTGCGCTTGTACTCACCAATGTTCCACCCTCTCTGCTGGAAGATCGACCCAATTTGAGTCCGCCACGTGATTACCACGGCAGCAGAATGAGGTTGTACGACTCCCCGGATGAGACGTGACTCCGCTTTGTCCATCTTGTCCCGCCTCGAGATAGAGGCTGATGGTGATGATCGAGTTACGTGGTACGGCGCATCCGAGATCGATTGGATCGGACACAGCCTGCGCCCCGCCCGGGATGATGGTCTCGCTCAACCCATTATCGAAAGTGATGTCTCGCATTGTTTTCGGATCTGCCTCCACTGTTCCCGACACGTTGTTGAGTGACAGGGCAACGGTCGCTTGTCTGATGTTCAAGTCATCGATACCAAAGGCGTTGGACAACCTGACACGGAAGAATTGCTTGGTACCCAAAGTGAGTTTGACAGTCTGTCGGATGCTAGTGTTGGGAAATGCCACCGTGCCTTCCATCTGTGCGATCCATGTTAGCGGCTAACTTGCCGTGCAGTATATACCTGCAATCAACGCTCAGGTCAGAGCACTCACAAACGATATTGGGGGAAGATTGTCTGGCTCAGTGCGCATGGGCATCGTGGCCCATGAGTGAACCCAGTGCAAATCATGAAGCATGTTTAGGTATCTTCTGGGTGAAATGAGCTAATTGTGGTCGATCTATCGTCGGCATGGAGTGCCCGAACGAGAGATCTTATAAGACTCCAGCCGCGGGTAAATTTGTAGGATCGTCCGGGTAATTTGAAAGAGCCATCGTGAATTCTCCAAGTCGGTCATGCGGGGAGGCGGGGTCGGTTTCGCTGCTTGGGCTGTCAGCACAGTTGAGTTCAATATTCCATCTAGACCCATTTGCAGCGGTCGGACATAGTTCTCAAGCTCGGAGGACGAAGCAGCTGCCCGCCAGTCAAGAAAGGCGTGATCTTCCACGTTTGCGCAAACTGCTCGCTGTTGCGCTCGGTTTGGTGGGTGGCGCATACACACGCGGCAAGAAATTGAGGGAACTTGGAACCCTAGTGGCGGGCGGCCATAATCGTCCACAGCGGGCAATGGTAACGGAATTCTTCGTGGAAGATTTCACTTGTTTGCCGGTGACCTGTAGGTTGAGAAACAAGCAGCGAGGTCAGAGGAGCCTTAGCCCGAGCCCGAGGTAAGCAGGAAGAAGATGTCCAGAGAGATAATCTATACCGGCCCTAATCCCTCGACAATGCAATACCTGCGTACCGAATCCGTGCTAGGCTAACACCACCAGCGCCAGCGAATATATGTCACGACATTCGTGGAAAGAGTTGGAGCGTACAAGGTAGGTAGGTACTTCACTAATGTACCCACGTGGAGATCTTGATGAATCCGGGGACGCGGAGAGATCAGCCTAATGGAACCAGGTACCAGGTCAGGTAGTACATGTATTCTCCTTCAGGACCAGGTAGATTGATACAATTTCCTGGATTCAGCTCTCGATAGACCGCGGTAGGGTCGGGAACTTGATTGTGATCCGTGAATTGAATGCCTGATTATAAACGTGGTCGCGGGGTAACAATCTTCGTTAGAATTTTGACAGCTCTTTCCGACGATGAAACTTAATGGATTTACCAGTTGCAGGGCGCTTTGTCATTGAAGCATTTCGACTTCAATACTAGAAGGGGGAGACTGCACTGGAACAAGACCAATGAAAGCCCCAAGGATCGAGGTCTAGAGGAAGCCCATGCCCATGAAGTTCTTGTTCACTGTTGTGTTGACGTCAAGTGAGCTATAGATAGGTGTACGGACTATGGACAGATCTTTGTATACCATCTCAAAATAACTACAAGGGCGCCGATCATTGATCAAACGATGTCTGTATCGGCTCCAGCCAACGAGGACCAAGACCCGAGGCCGTGCAATATGATTGATTCGAGCCAGCCGCTCATCTCTAACTACCTCTCTGAGGGGATGGTTCAAATGAACATCATTAGTTGTCCACCGCTTGCACAATCGCACCTGCGGGACCCTGATCAAGGCCGTCGAGCGCCGCCATGTCCTCGCCGTCAAGCTCAAAATCAAACACCTTGGCGTTGGCAACAATGCGCTCGGGAGTATCGCTCTTGGGCAAGGGCACCCAGCCCTTTTGCAGACTGTAACGAATCAAGACCTGGTTGACGGAGACCGAGTGTTTTTGAGCAATTCGCACCAAGGTCGGGTCTTTGGCCTTCATGTTACGGACAAGAGGGCAGTAGGCCTCGACAATGACCCCGTGGCGGTGGCACCAGTCCACAATTTCGCGTTGCTGGAGCCAAGGGTGCAACTAGAGGAGCAAGCGTTGTTAACTTAACACCAAAGGTGGCATAGCATGGGGAATGGGATAGAAACTCTAGTTCATACCTCAATCTGGTTGACATGTGGCGGCCACACGGTAGCATATCCCTTGAGCTCTTCGATGTGCTTGATGCCAAAGTTGCTCACACCAATGCTCTTGGTCTTGCCCAAGTCCTGCAGCTTCTCAAGAGCTTGCCACATGACTTTCCTCTTCTCAGGCCCCGCATTGGGGCTGTGAATAAGAAAGAGATCTACGTAGCCACTGGCCGGATCCAGCTTGGAGACGCTGTCGATACATTTCTCCAGCGTCTTCTCCACGGTATCTTCCGCCACAAGCACTTTGGTGGTCAGGAAGATCTCCTCTCGCGATAGGTCGGACTGTCGGACTGCTTGCCCGACTTGCACCTCATTGCCGTAGTATTGCGCCGTGTCAAGATGACGATACCCAGCCTTGAGGGCCGTGAGGCATGAATTGGTGCAGACCGACTCGGGAGATTGGTAGACGCCAAAACCAAGCTGTGGGATTGGTATCGAGTTCGGCATCTCGAGCGTGTGATAGATATTCTTTGGAGACATGGCTGCAAGTGGAGATGGACCAAGGCCAAGCAACAGAGAGTCGACAGATGGAGACAAACGTATTGTGGTGGTCGGGTTGACGGTTGGCGGGTTTTCCAAGTTGCCAGGAACCCGGACAACAGGCGAACCTAATCTAAATACCCAGTCGATCGGGCGAAGTGAACCCCGATCTCTCAGGCCCTCGCGGTCCGAGACATTGTTGATCCAATTAGCAGGGCATGTGCGCCATGCTTTGCTGCACGTCAAACCGGTTTGCCTTGCGTCACGAAGGTTCGCTCCGGCGGGGAAATCGGCGCAGAATCGTGCAGATCGAAACGTTGAACCAACTTGGGGGCAAAGCTGCACACATTCCTCTCTTCAGTTCTTGAAGATCGTTGTGAATATACCTGATTTCAACTCAAGAGCTCGAGGGATTGTTCTTCTGCACAGAGTCTGTGTCCATATCGATATCCAAGTCGTTCTCATCTGCGCCATGCAGTCGGTAGAACCAGATTATTTCACGTGCACTCTGGGAGAAGCCGTGCGGGGACGAGGGCGCCCCTCTTCGGCCACCACTTCCTTCGCGTCCATCATCGACGTGATCGACCAGCAAGCCGAGCGATATCCCGATCTCCCTGCCATCGGTTTTGCGCAGCCAAGAGAAGGGCAGCAAAATGGCTCCAGTACGTGACAGGGCGTGTGACAGAGATGGGGAAGATGAAAGACCCAAAACATGAAAGATTCTCGTGACGCGGCAGGGTTACGCAGCGGCTGACCTGATGAAGCTGAAGCAGTAGCCGCGTGGGCCACCGCTCACGCATTCTCGCCAGCACCCTCCGCTTCCCGCGCGGTATCGTTTCGAGAGCTTCGTGATGGGTCTGTCGTAGCGGCACAGGCTCTGCGTCAAAGTCTGGCAGGCCGAGAAAGTGGGTCGGCGGTTGGACTACTATGTGGTAGCAGCCTGGAATTTGTATGGACATGGTTGGGGCTAATGCGCTTGGCGCGACCGGTGATGTTACTTGCGTGAGTCAACCGCAGACTGCACTGTGGAATCGATAGGGTCATGGAGGCATGGCTCTGTGGGTTATCGCATGCTGACTTGATGAATAGACCGCAGTTGGACTGTCGGGCCATTGAACACCTCTGCAAAAAACTCGAAGCAAACGTCGTGTTCCATGATGGTCAACATGAGTCCACTACGAGCAAACTGGGCGAAGGACTAGAAGCCATTCGCATACCCGCCTACTCTTCACATTCGGTCACTTGTGAATCCTCTCTACCAAGCGTAGAGATGTCGGAAGGGTCCGCAGACAGTAAAAGTGGCCTTGCTGAGCCAGCATTTTATTTTCACACCTCCGGCACGTCCACAGGCCTCCCGTCGCCGATACCACAGAGTCACTCTATGATTAAAGCTCTACCTTGTTTCCAGAAGAACAATCAAACAGCTACGTTTTCCACAACGCCGCTCTACCATGGTGGCCTAGCCGATTGCCTTCGTGCCTGGACGAGCGGCGCAATGATGTGGTGCTTCCCCGAAGGCAAATTTCCTTTAACGGCTGGGAACATTGTCCAAGTCGTCAACTATGCCCGGGAGGCAGATGTCGCCCCTGTCAAATTTTTCTCCTCGGTTCCTTACGTGCTCCAAATGATGATGGAAGACGAGCGCGGTCTACAAATACTGAGTTCCATGGATCTGGTTGGAGTTGGCGGCGCAGCTATGCCCGTAGCAACAGGAAATCGCCTTATTCAATTAGGCATCAACTTGTTGTCCCGATTTGGTAGTGCCGAGTGCGGCTTCTTACTCTCGTCGCATCGCGATTACAAGAATGACCAGGAGTGGGAATATCTACGTGTTCATGTGACCCCAGAGTTTCTCCAATTCGAACCCAGGGACGGCGGACTTTCTGAGCTTGTCGTCAAGCCGATGTGGCCTTTCAGAAGTAAAACAAATCGCGACGACGGCTCGTATGCGACCGCAGATCTCTTCGAACCTCATCCCAGTCGCAACAATCTGTGGCGTTACCATAGCCGAGCGGATTCACAGATCACTTTGGCCAATGGCAAGAAATTCGACCCGGCCCCCCTTGAGCAGGAACTTCAATCTGCAACGCCATTGCTGCGGGATGTTTATGTTTTTGGCACAGGCCAGGTCTGTGCAGGGGCTCTCTTGTTTCCTAGCTCCGACGTGACGCCTGAAGAACTCCTGCACGCCGTGAATCCAGTTCTTACAGAGTTAAACGCCCGCAGCCCTCCTCATGCACGTGTTGAAGAGTCAATGGTGGTGGTAGTTTCATCCTCTGCTGGAGCTACTCATCTACCCAAGAGCAGCAAAGGCTCTATCTTGCGGCATCAGGCAGATGTTATGTTTTCAAACCTCATCGAATCAGCGTACAGCATCGCTCCTGACGGGTATGATGCGAGCCCGATTCGCCTCGATGTGACTGATTTACTGCATGAGCTTTTGCAGTGCTTCCACCGTGTGCTGCATCGCCCAGTCGATCCTGATCAAGACCTTTACCAACAAGGCGTGGACTCGATTGCATGCATTCAGGTCCGAAAGATCATTGAACGGAAACGGCTGGTTCCTGTCAATTGTAAATTCCCCCTGAACATCATCTATGACCAAGGGACAGTTCGTGGCCTGGCAACTTACGTCGACGCCATGTGGGACCCTTCAGCCCACCGAGAGCGTGCCCATGACGCCCAGTTTGCGTACATGGAATCTTTGGCCGACAAATATGATGTGCAACCCCCACGCAGGCCACATGGGAAGTTAGAATCTGCCAATGCTACCATCGTCATCACTGGTGCGACCGGCTTTCTTGGCGCCTATATTTTAGGATTGCTCCGCCAGCGACCAATTGCGACAAGAAGAATATGTTGCCTTGTTCGAGCTCGGACTGTTGATGAAGCTCATGAACGGGTCTCGGAATGTCAGGCAGAGCGCGGTTTTCACCATTTGCCCCGTAGCACAGATGAACCAGATGAGGAACAGTCTATTGTTTGTCTGCCCTTTGAAACTGATAAGCCTCGTCTCGGTCTAGATGAAGGCACATGGCAAGAGCTTGTGCACGACACCGCATTGATCATTCACGGAGCGTGGCCAGTCAATTTCAATCTGCCACTTTCTTCTTACGACAATCAATTTGCGTGTGTTGCCGCGCTACTCGCTCTGGCCGGACAGTCTGATGCGCATTTCGTCTTCATCAGCTCTGTGGCTGCTGCTGTCGCGACTGACCAGTCCACAATCAAAGAAGCAATTTCAAATGATCCGGCGCATGCGGCGCCTCTTGGATACGCCAGATCCAAATGGGTCGCCGAGAGAATATGCGCCAAGTTCAACCAGGCCTTTGATGGCGACACGCCAAGAAGTGTCGCGTCGATCATTCGAATTGGACAATTGTGTGGCGATACCTTAACTGGCGCCTGGAATCGGAGCGAGGCGTATCCACTGATGTTCTCTGCCTCCACCGCAGTTGGTGCCTTGCCGGACCTGGATGCCGAGGGAACGAACTGGCTGCCGGTTGATGTCGCTGCACGTTCCGTCCTGGAGATTGCATTTGCGAGACTATCAAATGACCATAGCGAGTCATCTCAGACGCAAGGGGTCGAGCATAGCAACGCTACTTTGCAGGCTCGACCAACACCAGTATTTCATGTTGCCAACCCACATGACTCCACACCGTGGCGCCAGGTCCTCCAGTGGATTTCTTCAGCTGCGTCTCTAATGACTCCGCCAAATCATCTTCACATTCTACCAGCCTCAGACTGGGTAGATCGAGTCGAACATCAGTTATCTGAGGATCACCACGCGCGTAGTCTTCTGGGCTTCTGGAGGCAGAGCTATGCTGGGACCAGCCGAGCTCCTCGGGTTGTCAGGAAGCCACCTCGTATCGAGATCACTCGAGCCAGGGCATTGGCAGAAAGTATGAGCATCGTGGGTCCAATGGATCAGCAAACCGCCGATCGACTCTGGCGTTGGGTCCAGCTACATGTTTGATCTTTCTCAACGCGGATCATGTGGTATCTAGCTTGTTTTCAAATTTCACTTATTACAAACAAAGCATATTGAAGCTCTCAGAGTCAAATTGGAATTTCGCCGATATCATTTCTCGTTGCAGATATCTTAGAGCTTGGAAAATGGATACGGCATGGAGACATCGGTAAGCTAGATCTGCTCGGCTCGCTTGGAAGTAGAAGACTAGCCGTGATGAAGAACCTCAGATCCCAAGTCCGTTTGGCCCAGCGCAGACGCGCCATAGCACGTTCGGAAGTCAGGCATGGCCGGGATGAGACTCAGCCCAGCCCCGATCCAAATTGCCGAACGAGATTTCCTTGATCTGAGAGACGTCTAACAAGACCGAGAATGGTCTCTGTGAGAGAACATTCCGCTGGGCATGTTATACCCCTTAACAGTGTTGGAAACAGGGTCACATATCGTGAATGAAAACCCTCGGTAATGCTGCGTCAACCTAGAAACACTGCAAATGCATATGGCCACGGGCCAAGGAAAGGGCAGTGGGCGAGGACCGACAACCGGTAGAATGATGGTGATAAATGCAGACGAGAATTCCCTTTATCGTTGAAATTCGGCCAAACCACCTGCAGGAGCATGCTACTATCAGACTCCGTTCTGGCGGTTGAAGATTGACTATACATCCGGGCGGGGACCGACTGGGCCATGCGGGCAGCCTGAGCTCTGCGATACACTGAACGTAAAGCATTTACTATACACTGCGATCGAGCTTCCCAATCAAAAAATCACCCAGAAAGTGTCCCAACTCACTAAAAGTGTCAGATAAAGTCGAATGCGAAGGCACCGTAGAGCAGAAAATTCCCCAGCTACGGTACATGGTCGTCGTTCGGATATGTGCTCCTTCCGTTATTGTGGCAAGCGCCTTCCAATTTTCGGATTCCATGCTCACGATGGGTAGCGGAAGAAAACAAAACATGCTCTGAGCGGATCCCGTTTCTTTTTCATTCATCAAACCTACAATAATGGTGAATTCGCTGGCCTATATCACGAACTTATCTTTAAATTGTCGTTTTAAAACTGTCATTGTGACGATGTCTTGCCAGAAGCGGAAGCGGACTTGTTCGGACAGCACCTCGTCTGAGTGAGAGCATTGCACAGCTGGAGCGAGCGCTGCATCCACACCATTATCAACCTTTTCTACCCTCAAGGATAACGAGCCACTATCGTCAAAAACAGAAATGTCTTCTACCAATGGACTGGTGGAAGATCCTGGAAGCCCTCTCGACGATACAAGGGAACAACTCCAAAATCAAGCCGAGATGGATTCCTTCGAGAAGGATCCCCAAGAATTGGTTGCAAATGGCTTTCGACCAGTTTGGACTCAGGGAGATGGGTATCCAGGTCCTATACCAGATGATATTGCCGCTTTCATCAACCCCGACGAACAGTGGAACAAAACCTTGAGACTGGTTGGGCCCATGTCCAGCCTGTTCTGGCTCGCAGGGCTCGATGACTTCGTCACCGCAATCGACAGCCCGGAATTCACTATGCGTGACGAGGTTGTTCCAATCCCAAGCAATGCATCTATTCGATCGATGCTACCCCACTTGTACGACAGTGGCAAGATTCCAGGGGCCGTTTACAAGAACTATTGTCTGCCTCCGCCAGATCTGTCGGTCATTGCGTTCCCGGTCCGGCCTGTTCAGATCCCTGGACCAGTCACGTCGACTGTCCAGCAGCACAACCTGCGAGACCTGTTCCCCCTCTGCCGCCAGCAATGTTTCCCAGGGCAGATCCGCTCAGTCAAAATTTCCGAACATTCACAGATCGAGCGGGTATGCCGAGATATTGAGCGCGATGTGCTCCCGTCGCTGGGCGGCGGCAACTTCTTGTTCCGCGGCTTGTCTCGACGCGGGCTTGTCTCATCGATGGCTTTCTTCCTGCCGGTAATCAATTCTCATCACTTCGATCAGGACTTTGGACCCGGCATTTACACAACACCGTCCATTCAATTGGCCCTACGATACGCAGCACCGCAAGGTGCCTTGATGGTGTTCCGCAACACAGATTTCCGGTCACTGAAAGTCTGGGAATTGAATGCTCGGGACTGGTCCGCGGTCACTCGGTATTGGACTGGACGGACCCTATCGAACCCTGACCAGCAATGCCCCGATGACTGGGATGGCGCCGATGTCATTAGCGGTCCGACTACAAGTCCAGGGCCCCGACGCCATGAATTTCTTGTTCCGGGTGACGACACGCAAGTCGTTGCAACTTCATACCCGGCAATGTGTGCTTTGGCCCGCTCGCTGGCATTGATAATTTGGCTCGCATGAAGATTTCCTGCAGCTTGCCCCTCGCATTGGATGTTCTCGCCTCTTGTTTGCTTCTTGATAATTGAGTCCATTGCTAAAATTGCTATCCTTATTTCTCGTATCCACACTCGCTATATACTTAATCGCAGCCAATGAATCGCCGCATTCAATCTACTGAAACTTTCAAACTACATTACGGGTTCCGATTGATAACTGAAACACGGGAGTCATGGCCCTTCGTAACCTTCGTGATATCTCAAACTCAGAGGCTTATCCTGCGTCCCCGTAGTCACCACGCTTTCCCTCCTTATACCAATCCACGCCCGTTTAAGCCAAGCGCTGCTACGTCATTATATTAGTACTCGGTTGTTTCTCTTAACGTAATACTTGTTTGTATGGCATGTGATTCTGCCACTCACCATATATTCGTAGGTGATCTACGAGAAGTGTTGAGATAGCTTGGTGGTCAGGCGTGTCACCAGCGTGGTGCGCGCCCACGCACACCACCTTCGTAGCTTAGATAGGCACCTCTCACCAGATGCAATCTCACCATTCCTTTCTCCCCTCTAATAGGTTATAAGCCCTGCTTAGCGCATAAAGAGTGAGGTTATTCACATTTCCTCACTGCCTAGGCACAACTTGCATAATAACCTCTTTTTCCATCGTTTTTCGGCGCGTTTTACGCCTTCTTCAGAGTACAGACTTCGCACCTCTTTACGACTTAACGATCCTTACGCATCGAATACGGCTACCGAAGCTATCGTATCGAATCGTCGCCAAAAGTCCCTTCTTCGGCTCTAACGCCTTTTAAAAATATACAAAATCCTTCTAGCTTCTACGTGTGACTCCTAGGCAGTACAGCTACGAGAACCTACGTATGGAAGGAAGAAGGTGAAGCAACTGTGTCCTATGCAACGAAGAAAACTAAGACGAAGGGGAAAAAGGAAAGGAAGAAATGAGGAAGGTGAAGTGCTAGCTTAAATACTTATCGTGGGCGGGGCTATAGTGAGGCGGCAGAATCCTTATAGAAAGTCCCGGATGGAAGGTTCCTCCACAGAAGTAAACCGAAAGGCAAACAATCCTTAGGCTCTAGCGCACACACACGCGTAAGGCTTCTATTAATAACGCGTAGGTAAATATCTAATCTTATAAACGTAAACATCGATTATATAATCCCCTCCTTAACTCCCCAAGTCCATATCTATCAACTAGCTAACTAACCTACTAGTTAATACCAACTCGCTAGTCGGCTAACTAACTAGTTAGTAAACTTACTAGTTCACGGTAACTAACTAGTTAACTTATCTAACTAACTCTATACTCTAAGTCTATTCACGAACTAGTTAACCGACTAGCTAGTTAACTATTAACTTATTACCTATATATTATATTACTCCCCGTTCAGACTCGCGACTATCCTTAGGTATAGTAATATTACGGTATATTATCGTCTAGGCGTACTAGTAGCTCCTTATTAAGAGCCTTATACTCTAACTAACGGTTAAGATTTACCGGAGGTCTAGGGCGGGACGGGTAGGTTTTATAATATTCCCGGAGTTTCGAAGCCGTAGTCCGGAAATTACTAGTATTATACTATATTATATTATTCTTAAATCCTACCTACTTTACTCGATACTAAAGCTTCGACCGGTTAATTCGCGAAGTAAGGATTATCTCTATATTATACTCCGGCTCTAGTATAATCTATATCGCCGGTTTAGGGATAGGCTATCCTAGAAGTAGATCTGTACTTATCGTACGGCGTAACTTCTCCGGGTTAAAGATATTATATCGTAACGATCCTTCTAGTAGTTATAGTCGAAAAGCGTATCCTACCTTCTCGATAATCCGGAAAGGCCCCTCTGCTTTCAGACGGAGTTTACCTAACGGTCCTTCTACGATCTACTAATTATCCTTTATCGTGATTATAATAAGATCCCTAACGTCGAAGTTTAGCTCCCTACGATATCGATTCGCCTAGGTACGCTAACGTTCCTACGCTTTAGCTATATTATCCTATACGAACTTATAAACTTAGCGAATTTTGTCTACCTAGTCTCGAGCTATCTCCCGGTCTAGCCTATAGAGATCCTATCCGCTACTACTAAGTTACTAATTAACTATCGTTCTTAGCTTATACCCGCGTTCGGCGTAGTATAGTAAGACCCTAGTTAACTTATAAGATAAAATCGCCTAGGCAAAGTCTATTATTAGTAGTAGGCTAGACTAGTTATCGGCGAACTTATCCACGAAGATATATAGTCGTTAAGATAGTAACTAGATCGTATTTTCCGACTACCTATCTATTTAAGGGTAATATAGAGTAGATAACTTCCGCTTAATCCCTATTAACTTATATAGGATCTTCTAGAATAATATAATAAACTATAGTCCTCTATCCGACACAATTAAGTCCGGAAGTCCTATCTACCTATAATAGTATATTAACTATAACTTTACTAGATCCCTAGCTATAGTATCCTTAAATAAGAGTATATAAACTATCCGCTTCGTTAATCTATAGACTACTATTAAGGTATTATTATATCCGTATCGGTCTTTTAGTAGATATATAAAGTCTATAGAGATATACTACTAGGGTCTATCTAGCACCGGTAACGGGTTTAGGAGTCCCGGAGTCTTTATTCGCTAGGTTTTAGTACGCTTATATATTATATAGTTATCCGAAAACCGAATAACGTCCTAGCGGAGAGTCTCCTACTAAAAATAGCTTACTAGGAACTTCTAAAGCTTCTTAGCGCTCGGATAGACTAAAGATAGTTAATTATAGGCTTCGGAGATTAACTAGATTCGTAGCTACCTATATACTAGGACTATAAGCTTCTTATTATAGATTAGTATCCCTTCTCGTAAGTCGAATCTACTTAAGGAATTCTCCTATTCGGCTTCCTGATACTATACTTCTAGCTCTAGGTTATCCCGGTTTACTAAGAGTAACTATTTAATCAAGTCGCTACTAATATAGAGTCGGTTAATTCGAACGGTCTTACGCTTATTTACGATCTAGGGGTCTAAGTAGGATTCTAGTAGTAATATCTAGCTCTCCGGTTCCCCTTATTATTTAACCTAGAAGCGGGATAATATATCCGTAAGAGTATTTTATTATCCTAGTCGGTAGCGGATAACGAAATAGTACTAGGAAAGTTTTAAACCCTAGCGAGCTTAACGAGCGTTTAGAAGTTTTAATAATATAAAGTACTCTAATATCCGGTGATCCGTTAGGACCTCGAATCTTTCTTTATATTATAGTCCCGATAGCTTAGCCCGCTAATTATCTATACTCTCTATAATCGCTAGTATCTCCCGGTCGTAGATATCCTACTTCCGCTTCCTAGGTAATATAGTCTTAGAGAAGAACCTAATAGGATACTATAACCTATCCTACTTCTAGGATAGTACTCCCGCGATAATATCCTTCGAGGCGTCTATTTCTAGTCTTATCTCCCTCTCTAGATAGTAGTACGCTAAGATAGACACCGAAGAAAGAGTCGTTTTTAGTTACTAGAAGATATTTATATAGTCCTCGCTCTATATAAATATATAGTCCTTTTTTATAAGTTAGTAGAGTAGCTTCGTAATATAACTATAGGCAGTAATAAAACGATAATAGAAGTTATAGAACCTAAGAAAGGACTAAACTCCTTTAACTATTATAGGAGTTTACTACTTATAAATAGCCTTAATCTTCTTAGGGTTAGTCCTTACTCTATCTACTCCTACGATAAAACCTAAGAACTTAGTCTCAGTTCGGTCGAACTCGTACTTATAGATTACTACCTAAAGTCCTATAGCTTATAATTATTAGATTACGGCCCGAACGTATTTAATATACTTCTTAGGGTCCTCGCTAAAGATTAGGATATTATCTACGAATATAATAGTAACTATATCTAAGAGATCCCTAAGTACCTAGTTAATATACTATTAGAAGGAGGTAGATCTACTATATAACCTAAATAGTATAACCTTATACTTAAAGGTCCTATATCGAGTTATAAACGTCGTTAGATCCTCTAAGTCCGCCGCTATTCTAAGTCGATAGAATCCCTACCGTACGTCGAGTTTAGTAAAGCGTCTTATATAGGCTAACCGGTCTATTATCTCGTTAATAAGTAGTAACGGGTAGATATCTTTTTCCGTGACTATATTTAGTCGTCGGTAGTCTATACAGAAGCGTAGTCCGCTATCTACCTTCTTCGCTATTAGGATTAGAGAAGCGAAGGGGTATCTCGACGGAACGATAAAGCCCTTTTATAAGTTCTCGAAAAGGTACTTTTGAACTACTTTAAGCTCCTCCTAGTTTATCTTATAGAGGGGGTAATAGCCTAGTCTCTACTCTCCGTTAAGGAGGATCTTATAGTCGAACGGGTCCCGATATAGTAGTAGAACGTCGGACTTATATTACGAGAAGAACTCCTATAGATTATAGTATACCTTAGGAATTTACCGTTAAATAGACTCCTTCTCCGTAACTACTTCGTTCCTAGGAGCTAGTTCCGTAATCACCGCGTTAATCTTATTAAGAGTAGTAATAAATACTTCGGTGTCCTTAGCCTATATATAGTATTTAAACCCTACTCGACTAATAAAAGCTCGAGCGGGACTTAGAAATATAGTATTTAATTCTACGCGAGACGGTTAAGGAGCTAGGACTACCGGTTCTCTATCCCCGGCCGTTATATAGCTAAATACCTTATAGACTCGTGTATAATTACTTAAGAACTCTTTAGGAAGTCGATATTCGGCGTTATATATAGTTAAAGTAACCCGAGATCTATCGATCCGCTCCTACTCGATTAGTCGCTCTATTTCCCGGTTATAGGCTTCGGTATATACCTAATATTTCTAATTTATAACCCGCGGACGTATTAATACCGGTAGGGGGATCTCTAGAGTTAGTTTCCTAGCTACCTTATCTACTATAGTAACTTTAGTAGACTACTAGATTCGGTAATTCGTATAATCTAATAATACTTAATAATACGCGAACTAGGCTCGTC